CCCCAAAACCCCAAAACCCCAAAACCCCAAAACCCCTTAAATTTAAAATTTTATTGAAATGACAGCCCAAATGGACTATAATGATACTCCCTTTACAAACAAGAATATCAGAAGAGCCCAAAACTCCTTCTGGGGAAGCAATAGGTTCAATGGCTATCGCCATTGAACTCCCATTATTGGGAACAGGAGAAGGAAAAGTTCCAAGTCTGCAAACCCAGGAAGTATTTCTACTCTTTATTTTTAGATAAAAATACCCTTCAGGGTTACTTACAAAATTATCAAGGAGGTATTATTAACCAAAATTATGCCAGATCATCCAGACTAAGGTTGGTCGATGCTAAATAAAAAGAAGATGCTCGGCAAGGAAAATAGCAATGAGACTGGTAAAAACCTTGAGAAACATTCTATCATGGACTTGATTAAGAGGAGCTTAATGAAAAATAAATCAACTAGAACAGCTAGAGAGAGTCCAAGTGACGAGAAAAGAAGCATCTTAGCTCAAGCTAGAATCAGACCAGATTTTGTTGTAATTTTACCATCTTTTATCCTCATAGTCAGTCAGAAATCATAGGACTGCTATTATTTCTAAAAGAAACCAAAGAGAGTATGGTAATCATTCGTATATTAGTGAGGAGAGGAAACAGTCAAAAATAATCCAAAAAGCTAAGCCAGTTGAGAAAAGGCCTCAGACATCAATCCGCTCTAAGCAAAGAGATTTGAAGAATGATATACCGAAATAACCTTAATAGAAATGCTTCAACCCTGACATATAAGAATAAAAGTAATCAATCGGAGTCATCTCATCATAAACGAAGCATTTCTCTTCATAATTCTCAGAGATTTTATGGGGCTAAAAGAGGAGTCTTCTACAAGAATTCTCATAATGGAGTGGTCATTGAGTATCTTAAGGTTTCATAGTTTAGAGATAACAAATCAAAGTTGTTTATAAGACCCACAAGTTCCTTAAACAGAAGCTGAGTTAATCTTCAGAACGAGAAACAGGAAAATACAACCATTAAGAGTAAAATTGTTCTAAATTCTAGATCAAAATGATGAGCAAAAGTATCATAAACCGTTACAGAATCAAAGCTCTGAGTTGCAAGTTAACTTTAAGTTCCTATGGAAACTTCCTGATAGCTATTTCAGTTCAAATTTACGTAATTTAACATTTAATCTTAAGACGTTGGAAAAAAGACAAGCAAGCACAGAATAATTAAGAAATCAAACAACATCATTAAAGGACTATCAAAGCCAGGAATTTCAGTCCCAAAGGTCAGCTACAAGTCCAAAATGGAGTGCAAAGTTGATGGAGTTGGCTTAAATCTCAACTCTTCTCTCTACGGCTAAAAATATCACTGAATCATTTTCAACAATAAATCTCTCAAATGGGGTTTTGGGGTTTTGGGGTTTTGGGGTTTTGGGG